CTGCTGCTCCCACGTTCGGCCTCAGACGACGCCGAGCCAAAGGCGCTACCAGAACACTGAACCCTGGCGGAGGCCCTGTCCTCTGGACGCTGGAAAGGCCAGAGGCACCGGCTGCTCGAGGCCCGTGTGCCCGGCGACACGGGCGCGAGGTTAGTCACGCCAGCACAGCGCGGGGCTCGGGGCTCGTCACGCAAGCGGGGACGCGCGCTGACCCGCGCGAGGGTCTTTATCACCGTCAAGGCTTGGAAGGCAACACGAAGGCTGCGCTTCACCACCCCTGGGAAGCGGGAATGCGTTTGCTGCCTGTTTACTCCCTGACTAAACGGAATTCCTTCTGCGTTCATTCCTTGACTGAAAGGTCAAAGAGGAAAAAAAAAAAAAAAAGGGCACTTACTTTTGTTGGGAAGCCAAAGCAAAGGCATCTTGCTTCTTTCGGGAAACCCCAAACTTCTCCGCCACATTTTCTGAGGTTATTCTGGGGAAAACAAAACCACGGAGTTAATGCAATGACAAGGGACAAGCAGCAGCTCCAGCCTCAAAGGGAACTGCTGCCTTCTCTATCTGCTGCCTTCTGCTGTCTGCAGTGACAGGACATGGGGTAACGGGTTTAAATGGAAAGTGGGGAGGTTTAAATGGGATATCAGGAAGAAGTTCTTCATGGAGAGGGTGGTGAGGCACTGGAACAGGTTGCCCAGAGATGTTGTGGATGCCCCATCCCTGGATGTCTTCAAGGCCAGGCTGGATGAGGCTTGGAGCAACCTGGTCTAGTGGAAGGTGTCCCTGCCCATGGCAGGGGGGTTGGAACTGGATGGTCTTTAAGGTCCCTTCCAACCCAAACCATTCCATGAGTCTGTGATTCTCACCTAGAACTGCCTGGCAGCAGCAGATCCTGAATCAAATCCAGACCCAAACCCACTCTCAAGTTTTTGCTCATTAAGCCACTGAGATGAATAACTAAGACAAGGAAATCTTTCATCAGGATTCCTGATCTTCCCCCCCGTTTCACACAAGGAATCCACAACCAAGGAGGATGCGGACACCGGCAGATCCAAGCTCACTGAATTCAGACTGATTGGCAACAGCGCGGTCACTGAGGAGACTGACACCTAGAAACCCCCTTAAACTCTGGGAAGGGGAAAGACTTACCCCATAGGAATAAGGCAGTCTCGAGCCTTGCTGTTTTCCATCATGCTGGAGCTGATGTCGCCGGGGTTACCCGCGCTTCTGAGGGACATCGTTTCCACACTAAACACAAGAAGAATTTGAATTTGCTACTGGCGCTTTCATCCCCCATTTCTGGGAATTGCTTAACGAAGCCCGATCACAACTCGGCGCCTTGACATTATTACCCTGTAGAGACACAGCTAATAATTAAGAACTGGCTGAAGCAGAAACCCTCCAGGCAACTTAAGAATCATAACACCAACACAGTGAAAACAGCTTGCTAGACTAAACCGGTCCTTGTTTCGCCAAGAACAGGAGACCGATGTGTGCGGGTTTAGTTGGGACAGAGCTGACTTTCTTTTTCACCTAACACTTTCACTACAAGAAGCTGGGAGGGGACCCAGCCCGGACAGCTAACCCACACTGACCGAAGGGACATTCCATGCCGTCAAGCATCATGCTCAGGGTATGGGTTAGGGGGCCACGCTGGTGCCTGGTCGGCTTCCTCGGTCGTGGGGCTCACTCTGAGCGCGCACGCTAGGGAGAGGGAGGGTTCGGCACCCAGCGCAGGGCTCGAAGGGTTGAGGTAAGGACAGATCTGACTGCTGGGTGTTGAAATGGAATGGGTGCGAGAATGGCTCACTCCGACGCTGGTGCGATCCCGCTCGGGCTCGGGGGTGTCACTGCTCAGGACCTGGCTGGGTATCGGTCAGCAGGTGATGAGCAATTGTATCATTTATTTTCTGTTATTTTTTTACATATTAGTAGCAGTAGTGCTAGTATTACTTTCATTACAGATCATTATGAGTACTGTTAGTATCATTAGTATTGTTAGCATCACTGTTTTATGCATTTATATTCAGTTATTAAATTGTTCTTATCTCAACCCACGAGCTTCCTTGTCTTGCCCTCCGACTCCCCTCCACTGGAGGAGGGGGGAGGCGAGCGAGCGGCTGTGTGGCATTCAGCTGCTCGCTGGGATTAAACCACAACACAACGGCAACAGTCAATTTCACTGGTTTCCACAGCTGGGATGGAATCGCTAAGGATTCTGGCTCTTTTGTCCTCAAACCTAACGAGAAGGCTAAGGTCCCAGGACTGGAGTTTCCAGTGCGATGGCCAACAGCCATAAAAATGCCACTTAGAGCTTGAGAACTGGGTGGCAGCATGAGAAGTATTAAGCAAAGGATTATGCCATTTGTATTTCGCAACACAGAGTTTAAGACACTGCTCCCACAGGCCACAGTCCTTCACTGACAGAGGAGGTGACAGATACCCAGTTTTACAGCAGAAATACACAGCTACCACCCAGGAACAGTGAGCTTCTGTAGGGTCAGCCTAGACCACGAAGCCTGTGATGGGAAGAGGGTTTGAATTCTACTCTGTGCCACACAGATGTGCTCGTGAAGAGTAAACAGCAAAGAAACTATTCATGGAAATAGTGGAGCTGGAAAATGGAAATGGCTGGAGCCCCTCTGCTATGGGGACAGGCTGAGAGAGTTGGGCTTGTTCAGCCTGGAGAAGAGAAGGCTCTGGGGAGACCTTATAGCACCTTCCAGTACCTGAAGGGGCTACAAGGAACCTGGGGGGAACTTTTTACAAGGGCCTGGAGTGACAGGACAAGGGGTAACGGGTTTAAATTGAAAGTGGGGAGGTTTAGATTAGATATTGGGAAGAAGTTCTTCATGGAGAGGGTGGTGAGGCACTGGGACAGGATGCCCAGAGAAGCTGTGGATGTCCCATCCCTGGAAGTGTTCAAGGCCAGGCTGGATGAGGCTTGGAGCAACCTGGTCTAGTGGAAGGTGTCCCTGCCCATGGCAGGGGGGTTGGAACCAGATGTTCTTTAAGGTCCCTTCCAACCCAAACCATTCCGTGATTCTATGAAAACGCATGACGAGCGGACAATAAGGCTTTTCCCCCAAGCAGCTTGTAGTAAATGCTATCAGGAGTTTAGACTGACACGGGATCCTGCACAACCTGGCTTCAGCTGCATCTGCTCCCTGAAGGAGGGTACAGAATCCGCTTCTAAGTCAGAGCAAACCATGGCTACGGCACTCGGTGTTGTCACCCACTACGTCTCCACCTACAACAGGCGAGTCCTCTCAGGGGGACAGCGTGACTTGGGATAAACCCAGCTCACAAAGGCCAGGGATTATAGGTCTTCGTGGAAGACCCTGCAGGGCAGAGGCCAGAAAACTTCCCGCAATGAAACACGTTGGCTTGCGTACCCAAAGGCGCAAGGGCTGGATCCCAAACCCTTTGAGCCTTTCTGTACCTGGAAGCGTATCATTTTGGTGGACGCTGCCAAGCTACGTCTTCAAGCAGTGCTGAAGGGAACGAGCGAAGAGCATCAGGCGGTCAGCACAGGCAGCCCTGAACGCCGAGCGCACAGCCGACACCAGAGGAGCAGGCCTGTCTGGCCGAGCTGTTCATTTCGCAGCAGTGTGAGGAGGGTGTTCTCAGCCTCCGGACTTGCTCAACCAGGTATGTGCAGGTGTCGAGAAGTTGTAAACACAATTTCCTAAGAGCTACTGGATGACTCTATACAGTAATCATCCAAGAAAGACTTGGAGTTACCAAGGTAAAGAAAAAGAGAAGCCCACTATTTCAGCCTCAGCATTACTGAATACTTAATTTGTTCTTCTGAAGTGAACGTGTCTGTGGTCACTAGTGTTTCTCCAAAGCCAACCTAACATTTACATAATCCTCTAAAAAATAAACACTTCTTAGGACGTTAGAACCGAAGCAAAGAACAGCACGCCCGGCCACTGCAGAAGAACATCTCCTGCAAGTCTGTAGAACAGTTACTAGCCTGTGTAGGACGTTAATTTCCTTACCCAAGATAGGTGCTGGTATTCCAAGACACCAGTTAACTGGAAATTAGCTAAACAGTTAATCAGGGCAGGCTTTCAGGCTGTCAGAGCTGTGCAAGTGGTGTCCTACAGCAGGGCCAGAAGGCCCTAATGAAACGGGCTTTCTGCGTGCTTGTCGGATACTCAGCCTCCTACTGCAGCCGCAACACACAGGGCACCAAGACCAACGCTTCCAGGGGAATTAAAGGATTTCCAAGCACCCTCCCTCAGACTTCCTGTGAGAGTACTCAGAACCCTCTGGAAATACAGGAACTGCATCTGCAGTCACCCCTTAAATTCACGTCCTAATGTTGGAGTTTATTCACCCATCTGTCTGACAAGGACAGCACCTATTTCCCTGGCGGGGGGATGACATGGATCTGGTTGGAAGGCATTTCCAGTTCCTCACACAAGAGCTACTGCGGGGGGACCGAGCGCTACTTACGGACAGCCTAAGCATGTACCATAAAAAGCCTTCCTTACCCGCAGGCCAAGCCAATGTCATACGATCCATTTCGGATGCCACCTGTAACAGCAGGGCACAAACATCCTTAACCACCGTTAGGAGCAGAGGCGCTTCCATTCCAGCTGTGGTTTCACGAACACCTGAGGCACCCACCACAGCCCAGCAGGGCATTCCCTTCTCCCTCCCGCCTGCCAGACCATCAGCCAGGTCCAGGAGCTGAGGAGGCCAAAGGCTAGGTGTGACCTGATGTGCACCCAGAGAGGACAGGAGGAACCCTGCTAGAAGGAGGGACCCTTCTAGAAGGTGCCAGGTGTCAAAGCGATGGTAAAAGTCATCCTCAGACAACCCAGTTACTTCTCTCGGGGTGAACTCAGCCACTCAAGGACACGGCATCCAACTGCCTACACACTGAAAATTCCCAACCACAGAAGGCGTTTGCGCTATTCCGACTGCTCAGAGAGACTAAGGGACAGGAGAAGTGAGCATGTGGCGTGAGGCAGGCACTGACGGATCCGAGGGCCCACAATGCTTACCAGCTATGTTGATAATGGCCTGTAGCCCGGAGGAGCACTGCCGGTTCACGCTGGAGCATGGCACCGTCTCTGGAATACCGCTAGAAAATAAGACAGTGTTGGGAAAGACTCGGTGACGAAAGCCGTGCAACAAACCAAACCTCTGAAAATAGCATGAAGCCACTTGATTAAACTTTAACCCTGAAGTTCAAGACAGATCCCTTTAATATTTGTTGACCTCTTTCCTCTCACCAAGAGGAAGCAAAGTTCATAGGTAATTTCCACACTTGATTTGCAAGCAGCTCCAAATGCTGTTTACCCACAGGTCGGCCTTCAGCGGGTCCTCTCTACGCAGGGCCCGCTTCTCTGCCTGGTTCCTGAGCTGTGAGCCCGGCCGGACACACGGGAAGGCTCTGCAGTATTCCTAATTACCGGTGGGCTGCATCCACACCTCTCCCAAGGGGTGGCTGTACACTGATTTACAGAAGACAACATCACTTGGCAACACACACTGGTGGAAATACCTGGCAGCTGGGATCCCGCTCAATATGAGCCATCGACCACCAACACTGGGAAACGGACAGAACGACCTGAGACAGCTCCCTGGTTTCCAGCCCAGGAAGAGCAGAAGGAAGTGCAGCCTTGCGGTGCGGAGAAGCAGCAGGCACCGCTGGGAGCCCACAGAACAAGATCTCCCATTCAGAGGCTCAGCACAGGGAGCACAGATGGATTAATCGGCCTCACCGCTCCCTTTCTGTCCTTTACCAGAAGGGTTCTCCAAACAAACCCTAGGTCAAAGTCTGATTTCTAGGCAAAAGGTCGTTTGCTCTAACTTCTCGGGAGCGCGCAAGCCTCACTGCAATCCGTGACCCACTGCTGCTCCGTAGCCAGGGCCAGGGAAGGGGAGGAGGAACCTCGATCTGGTTGGGAGTTTACCTTAGAAACTGCGCAACTCTTGCAATCAAAGCACCAGCTCCAGGCTGCAGCACGTTTCCTGAGTGCAAAGATACGATTCCAGTCAATCGGTTGTATTCCCCTCGCTATTTGCTGCCGGCATCAAGGGGATGGGAACGTTGCCACGGCTTGGTGCCATGTGGCACCCAGGTCAGACCCCCACCGCATGACGCAACCGTTGTGAAGAATGTTCTGATTTCATCAGCCTAATCCTACGCACTAACCCCTTCCAACCCCACGGTATTGCAAGTGTTTGAGAGCAGCCCTGAGGAG